AATTATCTGGAAAGAATCCCCCCCCTCCCTCAATTAACAACAAGGTGTCTCATATTTTCCACACCTGACAAACCTTGCTTAACAAAATTAAAAGCAGAAAAATGCAATGCTTTGGTCATGTAGAACGCCATCAAGAAAGAAGAGCTTGAACGAAAGATGTGGGGCACAGGAGAGCCAATGTAGACATATATACGGACAACACTGAGACATGGACTGGCCTGGGTAGGGCAGAATTATGTGGAACGGAAGCTCGTTACGTGAGGGTCGGAGGGTCATATTACATGTTAACCTACGAGTCGGAAATGACACCTACATGTATACAAGTATGTAACGTCTGTTGCCGAAAAAAAAAAGATTCCTACAAAACCCTGTGATATGCAACGCTGCTGCCTGCATTAAGAGCGCAACCACAGCGATGTTCTGAGATACACCAGGAAGAAGAAATGGCTATTTAACAAATACCACCCGTCATCCGTTTCTACCATCCACACTGCCACTCTATGTGCGGAGTCTCCCCCCCCCCTCCCCCCCCCCCCCCCCCTCTCTCTCTCTCTCTCTCTCTCTCTCTCTCCCTCCCCCGGGCTGTCCTTGGGGTGGGGGGATCTAGAGTAAGCGCCAAACGAAGGAATAAACTAACATCAAGATTAACGTGAACATCATTTCCAAAATTCAACATCTTCATAGTTACCAACACCACCACAACCACCATCATCACCACCACCACCATCATCATCATCATCATCATCATCACAACAGACTAAACAATTCCCCCTTTTTCTTGTTTTGCTGTTCTTGAAGCCTAACCATCTGTACCAAGCTGGCACACTTTTACACAACCTTCTAATATCGGTACTAAAATCGGAACCCACGCTAATATGCATGAAGTTGCAAGAAGCGTAAAATCGTACTAAACTTAAATCAGGACACGGGACCAGAACAAAACAAACAAACACCCCCCCCAACCCCCACAAAAAACAAAACAACAACAAAAAACAAAAACAAAAACAAAAACCAACAACACATGCACTGACGTCAGTCAGAGGATCTTCAATAGACAGGGATGCCTCACTTGCAATAAAATGCTAAGAGTAAGAGCAATCTCCAGCTTGCTTCTACTGGGCTGCATCCGGCTGCTCCAGTCATTAGTGTATACCACAGGGCACCATGAGCAGCAACATACAACAAGAGAGAGAGAGAGAGAGAGAGAGAGAGAGAGAGAGAGAGAGAGAGAGAGAGAGAGAGAGACAGACAGACAGACAGACAGACAGACAGACAGACAGACAGACAGACAGACAAACAGACAGACAAACAGACAGACAGACAGAGATATTACGTTGAGGTGGGAAAGAGTATTACAGAAAACAACAACAACGAAGGAATAAACTAACATCAAGATTAACCTGAACATCATTTTCAAAATTCAACATCTTCATAGTTACCAACACCACCACCACCACCACCACCACCATCATCATCATCATCATCATCACAACAGACTAAACAATTCCCCCTTTTTCTTGTTTTGTTGTTCTTGAAGCCTAACCATCTGTACCAAGTTGTCACACTTTTACACAACCTTCTAATATCGGTACTAAAATCGGAACCCACGCTCATATGCATGAAGTTGCAAGAAGCGTAAAATCGTACTAAACTTAAATCAGGACACGGGACAAGAACAAATTAACAAATAACCCCCCCCCCCCCCTGAAAAAAAACCCAAACAAAAATCAAAACACAAACAAACAAACAAAGAAAAGAAAAACAAAAAACAAAAACCAACAACACATGCACTGACGTCAGTCAGAGGATCTTCAATAGACAGGGATGCCTCTCTTGCAATAAAATGCTAAGAGTAAGAGCAATCTCCAGCTTGCTTCTACCGGGCTGCATCCGGCTGCTCCAGTCATTAGTGTATACCACAGGGCACCACGAGCAGCAACATACTACAAGAGAGAGAGAGAGAGAGAGAGAGAGAGAGAGAGACAGACAGACAGACAGACAGACAGACAGACAGACAGACAGACAGACAGACAGAGACAGAGATATTACATTGAGGTGGGAAAGATATTACAAAGGGACAACAACAACAACAACAACAACAACAACAAAATGGAGGGTTAAATGGTAGTGGTGCTGAATGGAATCAATTCTGCTCAATGTCTCATTTACCCAATTATCTTCCTTTACAATAGAAATGGTGGATATCCATTATACATGATGTTTTGGGCGATACCAAATCGCGAGTCACAAGATAGCCTTCAGTTTTTCACTATTAAGGGGATCCCACACATTGTGCAATTAGTTCAGTTCAAAATCTCCGTTAAATTGTATCTTGTGCCTTGTTCGGAGACGAGAAGAGCTAACTACATTGTATATGAACGAACATGTTGAAACTTACTGATATTGTCAATGTTTGAATGAGTGAAATCGATAGGAATAGTTACACACTTCCTCGTTTTTTAAGTGAAGATGAAAGCAAATAAAAGACAGAACATGTCTAGAGAACAGGAAAGGAGGTGGAAAGGAGAACATTTTAGAGAAGGAAATCTCCCTCCCCCCTCCCCCAGGTTGCTGTCAGGCTTTGAACCCAGGACCTATTGAAAGGAAGATGAACCCGTACCTCACTAGACTAAAAGAGCCCCACGTCACAATTATTTTCTGAAATTTACTCTTCAATGTGTAAGTATAAGTAACGTAACATAGCCCATAAAATCATTTCTTTTATCCATGATTTAACTGAGTTTTCGGGTAGAGGAATAGAATCCTCGAAGAAGTTGCAACACAATTCTACCAACCGCATCAAAACTGACTAATCATGACTTCTTAGGGAAATTAATCTCCCATTCCCTTCCCCATTCAAGAAATATTATCTTGGTCTACTTCGTCCAACGTTCATAAATTTCTTATATTTGACAATTTTCCGAAAGGGAAGGAATCTGCCTCTAGCAATATGTACCAGATTACTCTCAGGTATGTTACACAGCATTATGTAACAGCATCTATGATGCCCCGGTTAGATGTTTTGCCTTCACAAATAGAAGACGCAAATTTAATTCTTTACAAGGAATTTTATCAAGTATCTTCCAACTGCTAGCTCTGACAGTGTTTCCATCTCCTCTCAGTCCAGGTTGGCCATGAAAGCAGGGTGGAAGCTGCCTACCCTCTGAATGGTTTAAAATGTGGGGATGGTTGTGTAAAGCACTAACAATTATTTTTTCATCAAACAGCATTATACATCGCATTAATCTCACAATAATAATCATAATGAGAAGGAGTATGTATATCGAACATACAAACAAGGAATCTCAATCAAAGAAAAAACCCCAAAGTTACCAATGAAGCTAACAAAACCATAGAGTTGTGCTGTTCCGTTTTATTGAAAAAAAACAACTGAAAGTGCAAAAATTACTAACAAACAATACAAAATATTGTACATGCAAAGGATGAAAACTACAAAAGCAAAGGTAGATACGTAAAGTACATCCAAGGAATATTTTCATATTCATCGTAATAATATCTAGTATCTTGAAATATGATATTTAAAAAAACAGTTGAGTATTCAAAAGGGAGAGTACTTAAGAACTAATTTATATAAAGAGTATTCTTTTTTAAAACTTCATCAAAATTAGAAGGAACTTGTCTATAATATAATACTATCATTTCCCATTTAGGAACTTCATTCAAAAGAGACAGACTTACTTGTATAGAAATAATTCCCTTTTCACAAGCAACAAGTAAAACAGTTTTCAGTTCTCAATAACAATAATTAAGGATGATAACAAAACTAACACTAATTAAACACAGTAAAACTCAGTTTGATTCACAGAATGCTCAGGTCCACATTTGGAGGCAGAAGGACGGAGTCAATGGCGTGTACAACTCCATTAGTTACACTCAAGTCAGCCGAGATCACCTTTGCGTTGTTCACCTCTACACCTTCTGTGATGCAGAAAAACAAATTAAAATTAATGTTATCTATCAATCACTTGTTCATGAAATAGATTTTTAAAAAAAAATCTACTGTAGACCCACCTAATTTTTGCCAATAAGGATGGATGGCAAGCAGTTTTAGTAATTTTGCTGTCATTTTTTTTTTAAATCAAAGGTTTTCATGATTCGTACTTTCATTCCAGTCTTTTCTTCGTTTTCATGTAAAATTCCATTTAAAGCTTTTGTAAAACAGATAATAATAATAATTGCATTTATATAGCGCATATCCATGCTCAAGAGCTTGCTCTATGCGCTTTACAACTATTATTACCCCAGCAGACCCTCTGAGAACACTCAGAAACATTCTCAGCTTCCGCGGAAGCATACAGTGCAAGCTGCGGATTTCACGCGCTCAAACACTATCAAACTGACAAGATCGTTCACTGTCTATAGCTGGGTACCCATTTCCACCTGGGTGAAGTGAGGAAAATTTGTGCAAAGTGCCTTTCCCAAGGACACAACGTCGGGTCCTTGATGGGATTCGAACCCACGACCTTACGGTTGCGAGTCCGAGAGCCTAACCACTAGGTCACCGACGCCACAAGATATAAAATATTGTAAGGTGCATTTTAGAACACACATAGTACAGAAGGATGTACAGCATCGTGAGTCATAATGTACAAAGTACAGTGTACAGGAGCTATAACAAAGGAGTTAGTGTTTGTATAAAATTCTAAATGTAGATGTTTTATGCTCGAATTGACACAATTTGGACCACATAGCAGGCAATGCTTCCACCTAATTGCCTGTCAAGGCTAATCCAGCCTGAGAAGGGAACAATATCCCAGCAGACAGACGTAAGTACTCAATAAAAATTCTTTCCACATGAGAAAAGAACTCACCTCTTGCGAGTGCAATGGCGAAGCCCAGAGCAACTATACAGCTCACATGCTGGGTTTTCATAATTATAATAATGAAGTTTAAGATAGGCAGTAGGAGTGAAGAGGGGGGGGGGGAAGAAGGGGTTCTGACATCATTCTCGAGAGTATTTTGGGCTAAAATGAAATATGTGTCGTAACATTGTGGAATCGGGCGCTCCTCATTTTTTCAACATATGGAGTTTTACTGGAATCATCTAAGAGCGTGTTCATTTGCCTTGTTTTTGGATGAAAAAAATACCAATCTACCTGGAATAGTTGTCAAGACATTTGCGATTGAAAAAGGTGGGGGTCACCTGGTGTCAAGGGTTAAGTTAGCCATAGAATGGTTGCCAAAGTTTAGTGACTTACAAAGTTGGAGAGTCTTGGAAACTATAAATTTAGACCTACATTTTTTTGTGCATTTAATCAACGCTTTTCAGTAAGAACCCCTCAGAAATGTGTTTTTAAATGGTATTTTAAAGAGTGATTTAATCATCATAACACGTTTTGAGCCAAAAATTTAAAAAATCGATAAAAATTGCAAAACGAGTAGAGAAATGCAGATTTCTTCGATTTTTATATTTTGACGAGCGCCTGATTTCACCACACTGCCTCTCATAGTAGGCAAGCCTTATCAACATATTATGAGTCTGTGAATGTAGGTGTGCATGAGTTTTTTGGAGTTGCAGTTTTCTGAAAATCAGTTGAATAAAAAAACATAAGTCAGGCATCATGGTGAAATCAGGCGCTCATCAAAATAATGAAAACGAAGAAAATGTCCTTTTCGGTCTGTTTGGCAATTTTTATCAAATTTTGGTTTTTGACTCAACACCTTTGAGGTCCATTTAAAAACCAATTTCTGGGTGGATTTTACAGAAATTATTTTATTTAAGGCACAAGAATATAATATTGCAGTTTCTAAGGACTCTCAAGCTTTGGTAGTGGCCATTCTTTGGCGGCCATTTTCTTGCTAATTTTACTTCTGAAACCAGGCGACCCCCACCTCCTTCAATCGCAAATATCTCGACTTCTATTCTTGATATCTGAGTGTATTCTTTACTGAAAGCAAGACGAATAAACAAGCTTTAAAAGGATACCAGTAACTTCACATGTCCAAAAATAGATCAGCGCCCGATTCCACCGTGTTGTTACACATATTTTGCTAACATTTGTCGAAGTGTGTCAGTGTTTAACACGCATGCATGATGTATGCAAGCACTGACAGTGCCAATAAGTTAGTGTGTGAGCAAATAACTAGTGAGTGGGTGTGGGTTTGAGTGTGCATCTATAATGAATGTGTGCGTATCTGTATGCTTGCACAAGTATGTGCGTACATATATATTTGTACCAACACTGTGCAATCAGGCACTAATTACCGTTTGAGCATTGAGTTATTGGTACAATCTCAGAGCCTGTTCATGTGCCTTGCATTTTATGAAAAAAAAACCCATCTGTCTTCGACAGAAGTCAGGACATTTGCAACTGTGGGAGTTGGGGGTCGCCAGGTGCAAAAGATAAAATTAGCGAAAAAATGGTAGCCAAAGTTTGGCGACTTCCAAAGCTGTACTGTCCAAGGAAACTACAGTTTACATTTTCATGACTATGATCAATGTTTTTCAGTAAACCCCATGCAGGAATGTCCTTTAAAGTAAACATAAAAGACGTTGAGCCCAAAAGAATTTTAAAAAATAGGATGAAAATTGCCAAACGGACGGAAAGATGTTGATTTCTTCAATTTCATTAGTTTGACGAGTGCTTAATTTCACACAATTTATGGAGAGTAAAAGTAAGCGGCCAAATATTATTTGTTTCTTTTCAAGAGCTTCCAAGCAGAGAGAAGAGTTATGAACCATAAGCTCTGTTTCAGATCTAACACTTGACGAAGATTGCAATGGCAGCAAAAAAATATGTGAGGTATCATTGTGAAATCAGGCACTCGTCAAACAATGAAATCAAAGAAACCAGTATTTTTCTAGGCGTTGGGCAATTTTTTACAATGTTCTTTTTTTGCCCCAATACCTTTTACGTCACTTTAAAAATGCATTGATGTGTGGAAGTTACTCCAAAAAATATTCATTAAAGGCAGGAAAAATGAAATTTCCAAGGACACCCAAGCTTTGCAAGTTACCAAACTTCGGTGGCCATTTTCTCGCAAATTTGATCTCTCTTGCCAAATGACCCCCACCTCCTTCAACTGTGAATATTTCGACTTCTTTTCCCGACAGATGGGTATTTTTTTCCGCAAAACAACTGAATAAGTTTTAAGATGATATTGATAACTGTATATGCTATAAAATTGACAAGGACCTGATTTTACCTTGTTGTGACACATATATTTTAACAATACTAGCGACTTACTTTTGTTAACTTTGATTTCAACAGATGCACCATTGAGAGTGGTCACCTCTCCAGAGGTCAGCCCAGCACTGCAGTAAGTTTTAGACACCACGTGGTACTTCAGGATAGCTGAAATAGAGAAAATATATTTTAAAAACTTTTTCAAAAACAGCAAATTCCTTTGTAAAATCAGAACATTTTACTAAGTAAGTTTAGTAAGGGAAAACAGGTCACAATTTGGAACAAGCTATAACAAGATAAACAATTTTAAATGGTAGACACTGTTTGAAAAATCTAAGCAACATTTAAATTCAAAATGTGTATTAACTCAGCAAATCAAATACTTTTGAAGTCAGTATTGCAGGCATTAAGCAAAAAACATTAATCTTAAAAAAACTTTGAGGTTTAGAGTTATGGTTAGAAATGCTATCAAAGCATTTCAAAATCATTAACTCTGCCTAGGACACTTTAAACACAAGGAACATTTTTTTTTATATGTCACATTTGCTCAAATTAAACTCCTTCCAAAAATTTATAGACATTTAACTCTTTGAGCCCTTGCCACCGGTGTGTGTAAAACTGCCCATGTACCTAGCCACTGGTACATCAGTGAGTAAAACCCTACCTCCAACCTGGCGCATCTGGTACAAAACGCACATGGAAAATTATAGTGTTTACTATACAGGATGTTATCCATTATTTTGAAGATCTTTCTGAATTAGATGCTGGTAATGACGAGGACTACCCTGAGTGGGATACGGAAAGTGATTCTGATGATCATATGAATGTTAGTAATATATCACTCAGAGGCTTGAGAACTGTATTATAACTGGGATCTTTCAAACACATGATTTTTTAATTGAGAATCCAGCATCCCATCCATGCAACCATCAACAACATTCCAAGACAAAAATATGTCGACACAGTTAAAACAACACGAGCACACAATAGAAATGCTCGTCGCTTATCACATGGTATGATGCCTTGGGAGATTACGGATAATTCCAACAGATGCAGGTAATAACGATAAGGTCTACTAACCATAATACTGAGGCAGATAAGCACATACCTTAAGAAAAAGGAAATGCTCTACTCTCAGAAGCAGCTGTTTCATTTGCGATCATAAGAATTTAACTGTATTTCCTTTACTCTCTTTGTCTTTGCTAGATACAAGGGCATTATCAATTCATGTCGGACAACTTATCAATTATAACAGTATTATTATTTTAACTATAAGTTATTTTTATTATCCTTATTATTATTATTATTATTATTATTATTATCATCGTCATCATTATCATTTATAATTTTAATTGCTATCATTATCATTATTATTCTTATCATTATTAGGCTACTATCATTATTATAATTTTTATTATTTTACTTATAAAGTAAATAAACAGTTCTTCTGTCTGAGTCAGCCACACAAGGTTGAGTCCTATATAGTCAGCGCCACGTGAACTTTTTGACACTTGCACACCAGACAGTTACCCTATCTTTCTGTGATGGAATGTAAGAATCTTCAGCCTACACTTTCACCTTTTTTTGCGTTGATTTTATTTTTTTTATTTCATATATTTAGCATGTCAGCTGTCTTCGTTTGTTGCCTTACAGACTTGTTTCGAGTAAATATAAATGCTTACAGTCATTAATGCTGAAAGCACTGAACAAAATGATATCTAATACAACAAGTGTATTTGTGATGGTGAGTAGGTGACATTTTAAGAAAACATGAGAAATTCAAACACCTTTAACGAATTTCTGGCGGGCAAAAAAGGTCTGCCAGTAGAAAGATAGCAAACAGCAGCTCTCCAGCGTGTTTATTGTCTATGAGTACACATTTGATTTGATGTGGTCATGGATGGAATGGAAAGATAAATTGAACAACCATACTTGAGGCCATGGGCGAATAGCTACTTCTTGAAGTTGAGTGTTAAGATCTATATATAGGCTAATCATTAAGCCCAAAAACACAACAACACAATAAAGTTGGTGTATCTTCCTTCTTTGTTAATATAAGGCCGTTTCAACTGGGTAAAGTTATGTAAGAGGCATTAATTCTAACAGCCCCTTTTGTAAGACAGCAAAGTTTGCCATGCACAATCTCAGAACATGACTATTTAACTTACTTAACTCTGGTTATTTTTAGCCATCAAACCACCAAAGCCTGGTCATCTTTTTAATTTATTTAAAAAATCAATAACTTTGTTGATGAAGCACAAAGGATAAAAGATTCAGGATTTGCAAAGCATTATACCTCTTCAAGATCTTTTCAATTTAACTTTATATCTTTTATCTTCCATACTTTTTAATGATGTCTTTTAAAATTCTTCATCATTTCTTTATTTTCCTGAAAGATCAGGAGACCTCCTCAGTTTTTAGGTTCCCAGCGGGCCTACAGTTAAGTTAGGGTTTTTCCTTTTCTTTTCTTTATAATACTGTGTCCTGACTTTTTGGGCGTAGACGTTAGTTTAGTTTCTTACATGTAGATAAGGTTGCTATTAATTGTAATGGTAAAAAAATATCTGAAAGTTCAAGCAAAATGTAGTTTAAGCAAACAGGTACCATCAAAAACAGAGATTATGAACCGAGCAACCTTTCCGCTGATGCTGATTGCCGACAAGTTGTGAGTCAAGTGTTACAATACTTACCAGCAAGCTCAGTTGGGTTCTTCAGCAGTTTCTCCAGAGTGCCGGGGGGAAGTTTCATGAAGGCTTCGTCAGTCGGAGCGAACAAAGTAAATGGACCTGGTCCTGTCAATCAAAAAAGTAACCAAAAAAAAATTCAAAACTAATGTCATGAGGTACAAAATGCATTGTTCACTCACTGCAGATATCATATTAAATGGAGACTAAGAGCTGACTCGACAGACTTTGTTTGTTTGCACGTGTGTACAGAAGAGCACTGTACTGATACAATAACAGTCATTTAGTGCAAGGAGAAAGTAAGACAGACAGACAAACTGATATAGCAGGAAAGAAAAAAGCAGAATCTACCAGTGGCACCCTCCAACCATCCACAACCAGAGAGAGGAGGTGAGAAGACAAAGACTTACCACTGAAAAGCTTCTCTACCAATAAAGACTTGCACCTTAACGCTTCTCTACCAAAGACTAATATTTCTCTACCAAAGACTTACCACTTAATGTTTCTCAACCAAAAAATTACCCCTAAACACTTCTCTACCAAAGACTTAAGACATAATTTTTCTCTACCAAAACCTTAATCCTAAACACTACTCTACCAAAGATTTACCACTTAGAGAATCATTTTTATCCCTTAACTCTTCTCTACCAGTGACTATCTACTTAAAGCTTCTCTACCAAAGAGGTGGGTGGTTGGCAGGTGCTCTACTGTGGTCTGCCCCTTCTTCCCTATAAAAAATGCATCATCCTTATCTCTCCCATTTCATTTCTTTGAATGCTACTCCTTAGTGACAACTCTAATCTTTAGTACTTTAAAGACTTTTGCGTTATAAGTGGTGTAAAACTCTTGCTAATATTCTACAAAAGACTCACTACTTAAAGCTTCTGACAGTGACTTACAACTTAAAGCTACCACCAGTGACTTACCACTAATATTTCTATCAGTGACCAGCCACTTTAAAGTTTCTACCAGCGACTTACCATTTAAAGTTTCTATCAGTCACCTATCTCTTAGAATTTCTAATGGAGACCTACCATTTAAAGCTTCTACTAGTTACCTACCACTTAGAGCTTCCACCAATGAAGCAGCTTTGACGGCTGTGACGAGAGTGTTAAACTTCCCGACAGACGCAACACTCTGTACGATATTGCCGTATGGGATGAGCATCACTCTGTTCAAAACGTGCACCACACCGTTGGAAGCAACTTTGTCAACTTGTTTGAGGTCAATTGGTGAACACTGGGTTGTGTACTGTGTGGAGAAAATTTGTTTAATGAAATAACTCTCTTTTACATTTTCCTGCCAGTGCTTTGAAGTAGGCCTACTGATCATGAACACTGACTGCATCCTAGTCATAACATATTTACTCAGTAATTTTCACAGCATTTGTGATGTAACAGTTAGTTGCTTCACTGTCACATACAAGAGACCTGAGTTCAATGCCCAAGTGGGGTAAATTTTTATTAAGTATCTCAGTCTTTCTGGGTTGGTCATGAAAGGCAGGGTCGGAGGCCTGCCTCCTAAATGATCTAAACTGTGTTGATGGGGGCATAAAAACTCCAACATTTTAAAACAATGTTTTAATTTTTTTTTTCAGGTTTCTAGTTGTATAGGTATGGTAAAAAAGCCTGTTTTTGTTTTGTATTCTCAACAGACCAGGAACTGAGACATTTTCATCCTTGCTTAAGTGATGGGGTTCATTCATGCAAGCAATATTTTTTTCCTTTTTTTTTTCCTCAAAAGAAAAACAAAAAGGGATTTAGACCATTGTATTACTTACGGTTCAAAATGATCCCAGTGTGTAGTGCAGCCAGCACTTTAGTGTACCAATGCTCACAACACAAATGAAATATTTCAAGGTTTAAATCAAAATCAAAAGTAAGTCAGATCTACGCTGTATTTTTACTTGCACAAGAACTTCTTTATATAACTAGTGTCTTAAATGTCAGCAACAATTAAAAATTTAATTTTAAAAAAGAAAAGTACCAATATCAGCAGTATTTAAAACAAAAAGTAATCTATTCAACATTATCAGAAAAGCATTGCAGATGTACTTTCATTACAAGTTGACTATTATGGCACTACAAGCCATATAAATTTATAACATGCATTTCAGCTATATGAATAATTTTTTTTGTTAAGAGTGACATAACAATATGGTTTTCAGCCCCACAACAGTGTGGAAGAGAGACAGCGAGAGAGAGAGAGAGAGAGAGAGAGAGAGAGAGAGAGAGAGAGAGAGAGAGAAAGAGAGAGAGAGAGAAACAATAAGACATTAAGAGACAATACTAAAAAGTTTACAAAGGGCTATAACTTGTCTGGGCTTTAACTTGCATTACACAGATGAGTGTTGTTGCCCCTTTTTTTGTCGGCTGCTATAATGTAGGAGCTGTAGACATTGATTCTTAACATGCTCATTATTTAATCACTTTTGTACATACTACATAAACTGATGGCGCACTGTACAGCCAGCAGTGTGGAAAGATTTAAATAATCAAAGGCAATAGGCTAATATATAGTTCATTTTAGTCCAATTTAGAACAAATTTCTGTGTGGATTTTTACTGAAAAACGTTGATTAAAGGCACTAAAATGTAAGTTTTCAGTTTCCATTTACAATCAGGCTATGGAAATAAGCCAACATTGGCTGCCATTTTCTCGGTAATTCTACAGCTGAAACCAGGTGACCCCACCTTCTTCAACCTCATCTCGACTTCTATTCAAGATAGATATTTTTTCACCGATAGCAAGACAACTGAACAAGCTTTAAGATAGTTTAAGGAAATTAAGAAATTTCCGTGTTGATAATAAGATTGTGTCCCTTTTATACCATTCTATGATTGAAGTGTGCTATTATTTTGTATTTGCTGCTGGGGTGGGAATTGTGAGGTGAAAGATAAAGAAAAATTCGACAGAACCATTAAGAAAGCCAGCAAGATCTCTGGATATGATTTTACTAGAATCGATGAAATGTATAACACCACACGTATAAAAAAGATAAAAAGCATAATAAACGACCCGTTACACCTTCTTTTCACGCAAATTGTAAGATCACGCTGCAGGAGATATAGGTACCTCCAAAAACAAAGAAAGAAAGATATAAAAGAAGTTTTTTACCAACTAGTATAAGGCTTTTGTCAGAATGAGCATACATCTTAGAGTCTGTATCTATATAGGCCTATAACTCCAAAGGTCCTGTAATTACATTCCTGTTTGTGGTTGAATGATGCATCAGGTGTGAATGTACATTTTTGTCAGCTTTACTTCTCTTTTCATTGAATTTTAATTAGAGTAATAGATAATTTAAATTTTTTATGTTTACCTGCATGTGTTTTTACGGTCCTGTAAAGCCAAGAATGTCTTATAGCTCCACATGCTTAAAAATTGAAGAACACCTGATTCCAACGTCGTGACACAAATATAAATGAGATGTGAACTCTGATAACTTATATCAATTTCAAAGATGGCACTTTTAGAAAAAAAATATATATGGTCAACATTGCATGTATTCTTGAAAACCACACATCCTCATTCTCAATTGTTACCAGACATTTCCAGAAAAAGATCAGCCTGATTAGCCTTCTCTGCATGCACCCTACCCCACAGTAATGTGAAGTCAAGGTCATTTTGCATGTAAAAAATGAACATCACAATTATGTTTTCTATGAAAACTAATGATGTACAACTCACCACACCGTTGTCGTAAATGTTCACTCTCAGAGGGCTGCCCTCCACTGTTTTCACAACAAGTTCATCCTTCAGCTGTGAAGATTTCACCTCGCCCGCTAGCACGTGGTACTTGAGGACTTCTGCTAAAACGGTTGTGTTGGCAATAAGTTTCTTCACATCGTCTGGGAGATTGCTGAAAGCTTGGTTGGTAGGCCCAAACACTGTGAAGGGACCTTTAAAAAAAAAATTGCACAGCATTAGCAAATATAATTTTCAAGATATAGTAATACCCAGACCAAAACAATGAGAAAGTTGTAGACCAATGTCGGATTTTTAAACGTTTCCAAAGAATGATGTAGGCGAGATCTTCCCGTATTTCTCTGTGCTTCTATTTTGCTTTGTGCAATGTGCATCCATTCTGCTTTTATGTTTATGTTTTCGAGTTGAAAGACCTTCAAAGATGTCATTAATTTTGTTTTTACAATGTTTGCATTTTGATAGGAACTTATTTGAAAGACATTTGAACCTGCTCTATTAGCCAAGATTGTCCAAGACAATCACCTGTACAAACAACTACTGCAAACTTACTCCCATGCGTTTTTTTCTTTATAATAAAGACTGTATGAACTGTCACCCAGTACACTTACCAGGGCCGGATAAGGTTTCAGCCAGACCAGCTTTGCCCACCTCAGTCACCAATGTTGTCAGACCAATGTCCTGAGCCAGTTCAGGAATGTTAGGAGCATTGGGATCATTCCTTTCTGCCTCCTCAACATCACGAGCCATCATGTCCAATGAAATCATGTTGCTTCTCATCTCAAACTTCAGGGGAAAAAAATAATTTTTAAATTATGTTTTGAAGAAGGAAATGTTACAAAAATAAATAATAGAATAACAGAATGAAATTATAAAATGTGTGTCAAACTCTTATGGAGCTTGTAAAAAATTTGTAGTTGTAATCCACACAGCCATCAACAAAATTTCCAAACTTTACGAGGCAGACTACATCCACCCTGCTGAGACATTCCAGCAGAGGATGGTGTTTTTAAATAGGCAGCTTCCATGATGATTATGACGTATTAGTGTGTAAAGGGGGAGTCTCTCTCTCTCTCTCTCTCTCACTCTCTCTCTCTCTCTCTCTCTCTCTCTCTCTCTCTCTCTCTCTCTCTCTCTCTCTCTCTCTCTCTCTCCTGGCATCTGTGGTGTAACAATTAAGTGCTTCATCAACACGTGCAAAAAATTATGTGAGTCTGATTCTCGTGAGAGGGGGATTTTTATTGAACATCAGTATATCTGGCTATCCTCTGGGTTGCTGTTTCCATCTCGTCCTGGGTTGGCCCTGATAGGCCTAGAATCGAAGCAGCCTGTCTCCTAGATGATGTAAGTAGGATCGATGTTGGTGTTAAACATCTACAATTACTCATTTCTCTCTCTCTCCTTCTCTCTCTTCGCCTTTCTCTGCCTTTTTCTCTCTCTCTCTCTCTCTCTCTCTCTCTCTCT